GGGGGGGGGCGAAACAAACCTCAGTAAGTCCTTGTTTTCATAACATAGCTCTTGGAAAAGAGCCGCAGCAGTCTGCGTAGTGGGTGGCTCATCGTTCACGATACCATACATGCCCAGATGGTATGCCACAATGTCGGCGACAGCTTGAGTATCGGCCGCAGAGCCAGATCGGCAGCACCAGATCGTGTCGTGGACCTGCGTCAGTTTGTCCGTCACTCGGTTCGCAATGTAGGCACCAGTTGTTGTCCGACTGTCCGCTCCCAGAATAACACCGTCTTTGAAATTTATAGCCATGCTGTCGTACTGTCAATATGAATGACTGGCAATATACACAAAGAGTAGTTGAAGGACCACTGCTCACATGGAGGTTCCGAGACTGCGACGGTAACGGTTAGTAATCTCGCTATCCCAGTCGACGCCTGGGGTGAGGGACACGTACTTGACTTCCCCATTCTTCAAGTGATTCATATCAATATGGATGCCATCTATCCGGAGTATTAGCGTCGCACATTCGCTTCCTCGAATTGCAGTGCACTTCACCCTCTCCCAGCATGCCCGTGGTCCCGTGGCCGATCATCTTTGCTCCCGACAGTAACAGAATCAAGAAGTCGATTATCGTAAAATCTTAACCGTAACGTTCTTTATTTGGCAGATAGCAAGAAAGGGGGGAACTGAAGCAGAGGAGAGGACAACAGTCGTGGGGATAGCAGTTGGAAGCTGTGACGAAGCGAGGCAGCCAGCAACGCGTAGGCGGCGAGCAGCTCAGCTCAAGGCGGTGGGCATGCGGGCCTTCTGATTGGACAGACCTCGCGCCCATCGACAAGCAACGACATGGAGACGGCCAGGAGATCTGTCATCTCCATTCTCTATCGAATAGATCGGCCATTGCCCACGGGCTGAGGCATCTCGCGCTGTCCTTGTTACGCTGCAGAGCAACTGCAGTCATCTCGCCTCGTCTCTCGTTTCATTCCTGAGCGCGATCTTGGAAAACAACCCGATCATTCCGGTTAGCTGCTCACGCCGTTCCGTTCTCGGTATCGGGGCGAACACCCCGCAATGCGACAGCATTGATAGCAAAACCACCAGAACAAAGAAGTTCGGCTCAGCAGTCTTCCCTAGCTCGTTGGCGCTCGAACTTCCACCATGTCTGAATCTCCGTCGCCCTCACCATCATGGAATATCGCCGCAATGGCAGAAAGCGCCGTCCAATATCTGCGACTGCCGGTGCTAGCCTCGTCCGGCTTGGCTGTGGTTGCCAGCGGCTTGTTGTATTTCAAGCAAAAGTATGACATGGATCATCAGACTAATCGGACTTAATTTGACTGGACGGGACTGATATGTGGCAGTGAACTCATATACCCGCGCAATGTGCCGGCGGACGCGCGCACCAACATCCCCAAGCCTACCCAATTCGGAATCACCGACTTCGAAGATCTTATGATTCCTACCCCGGACGGCGAGTCGCTGAATGCTCTCTTCATCCGTCCGTCGAACAAACGCCTGGCTCGCGACCTGACGATCTTGATGTTCCACGGCAACGCGGGGAACATTGGGCATCGGATCCCCATCGCCAAAGTGCTGGTCGAGACGGTGGGTTGCAACGTTCTGATGCTCGAATACCGCGGGTATGGCTTGTCGACGGGAGTACCCAATGAAACAGGCCTGAAGATCGACGCCCAGACGGCCCTCGATTATATCCGCCAACGGCCCGAGACGAAGAGAACCAAGATTCTGGTGTATGGACAGAGTCTCGGCGGGGCGGTAGCCATCAACTTGGTGGCAAACAACCAGGAGCAGGGAGATATAGCGGGTCTCATCCTGGAGAACACCTTTCTGTGCATTCGGAAAATGATCCCAGCGTATGTGTCCGGAGAGAGAGGTAACTGAGCGCAGCTGACGTCTTTAGTGTCTTTCCCCCTGCCCGCTTTCTGGCACGCCTGTGTCACCAATACTGGCCCAGCGAAGATATTCTACCCAAGATTACCGAAGTTCCGATACTGTTTCTCAGTGGGTTGAAAGACGAGATTGTGCCGTAAGTATACTACCGAAATTGCACTTGTGTCAGAGTTGTTTGACGCTCCTCTAACTCGTCTTCTAGTCCGTCTCACATGAGCGAACTGTACGCTCTATGTAAATCTCCGCAAAAGGTGTGGCGCGAGCTCCCGAACGGGGGACACAACGACAGCGTCGCTGAGCCGGGCTATTTCGAGCACATCCACTCCTTTGTCATGGAGCATTGTATCGACTAGGCCTTGCCCTGTTTCTGTATTTCTTCACATTTTGCAGATCACTGTATTTTCTCATTCCCATACCCTCTCGACGGTTTTTCCCCCCTTCGCCTTGTCTTTGCTATCTATCCGTTCTCCCTCCTACCACACCAGTTCATCAAAATCAAAGATACCCCCTGGCGCCGAAGAAATACTACCTAAGATACTACCTAAGAATACGGACGATTGTATTGGGATTGGGAATTTTCCGCCCGAAAGTGGAATAGCTGGAATGGGATTTCCTGTCATATGCAGATATGCAGATATTGATCCTGGACTGGACTGGACCAGGGTGTTTTTATTCCAGTGGAAACATGTTTTTTCTTCTTTTTTTTTTCGAAATCATTTCCCTACCATTTCGTTTCCTGTCATGAGTGAGTTTCACCTAGTTGCAGTTGTCGTCTTTCCGTCTGTTTTTTTTTTATTTTTTAATGTCCTTTTTTCTTCGTTTTTGCTACTTGTATGTACTTTATTTGTATGTAGTAAGTACACACATTGACCACGTTAACGGATGATTGATTGATTGATAATAGCAAATATACGGAGTAATGAATCCCACATGGAATCTATCTCATAAATACTCTCGTAAATAAATACATGTAGGCAGAAATTTAAAAAAAATAAAATAAAATAAAAATAAAATAAAAATAAATAATAAAAATAAAAATAAATAATAAATAATAAAAATAAATAATAAATAATAAAAATAAATAATAAATAATAAAAATAAATAATAAATAATAAAAATAAATAATAAATAATAAAAATAAATAATAAAAGCACCGTACATTGCACCATTCATTTCAATTCCATGCTAAGTTACGTCTTGATACGCCTTGTCTTGAGCAATCGCAGTGAATCACTAGAATGATTTTACTATGCAGTTATTTTATTTTATTTTATTAACTCTCTGAGTATCATAGGAAAGAAACCAACGTTGATCTGATCGATCAATCCATATATCTCATCCAGAGAGATCGTAGATCGTAACTTCTCTATAGTATAGTACAGTACAGTACACGTAATGTACACAGCATGTATAACAATCATCATCAAAGACCACAAAAACAAACAAACAAACAAATACAGAGAGAGAAGAGAGGTTATATCTTCTCCGTCTCCTCCATCAACTCCTCCACCCTAAACCCCTCGACATCACCCCGGGTAAACATACGCAGCAACTCTCCCTTGCGGCCACTTCCCTGCCCGCCAAAGTCGTAGAACCGCTGCACGCAACTCACCAGCCAGCTTGCCTCTGTCACTGACACGCCCCGGTCGGGCATCACCTGGCCGTGCATCAGCACCAGCCCTTTTTCGTCTGCTAGGTCGAGGTAGTGCGTCACTGTTGTGTGGGGCTGTGCGTATGAGCCGTGAAGTTTGTAGGATGCTAGATGCGTGAAGAGGATTGTTGAGGTGTGGGTGTTTGCTGTTTGTGTTCCTGGGGTTGTTGTTGGCAGCGGTGATGCCGGCGGGTGGAAGCTCCATTGTAGGAAGTGGATGTCCGCGCCTCCCTCCGGGGTAGCAGCCTGTTGCTCCTTTCCTTCTTTATTTCCATCCTCTGCTGCAGGGGTTTTTGCCTGTCGAGGCAGCGGAAGAATAAACTGCGGGTTCGCCCGCGCCGCCTCCGCCATGCGCTGGTACGTGTCGAGCGGGATGGTCGCGCAGATGGAGAGCGGGTTGCCCGCGTGGCGCAGACGCCAGAGCGCCTCGATCTCCTTGGGCGGGAGGGTGAGGATCTTTTCAATGTCTAGAAAGGAGCTGAGGGGCTTAATGCCCGGTGTTTGTCCCGAGACGGCTTTTGCGGCTGCGGCTACGGAGGGTGAGGATGCAGATGACGACGAAGACGACGCAGATGTAGATGTAGATGAGGGAGACGGCGGCGGAGGAGGAGAGAAGGGAGTTTTCGATTCTGCGTTTGTATTATTGCTCGCAGAAGACTTCAGCTCATCAGGCGCAACGGCCGAGGCCTTGCGACGGTACTCCTCGATTTTGTCCTTGTACGCTTCCTTCAACGACTCGATTGAATCATGGCCTTCCCTGGACAAAAACAAACAAAAAACGTCAGTCTATGTCAGCGGCCAATCAATTGAAGAAGGAGTCATGCTTACGCCTCTGCCTTCTTGCGCAGCTTGTCCTTGTACTTCTCTAGGATGTGCGCGGGATCGCGATGCGTGGCGAGGAAACGCACGTCGTGCACTTGGGCCCATCGTCTCTGCTGCTGCACGCGGAGAACCCGCGAGCTGCCCGGGCACCTCAGGAGGGAGTGGAGTGTCGGCGATCGGAGGGATGACATGGTGAGGTTGGGTGGTGAAGAGGATAGTAAAAAGAGGAGGATCACCAAGGCCAGGCTAGCATCAATTAGCTTCTCCGCGCCCGCAGTTTGTCGTCTCCGGTTGGCGCCGCCTTTGCTTGGCTCCGCCGGAACCCTAAATTCACCTACATTTAGGTAACTAGGGAGGTACTATACCAACTTACTCAGAAGTATCTTCCTTGCAGACATGTACTGCTAGAAAAGAAATTCTTGGTTGGCTATAAAATGATCCACTGGCGGAGGAGTGTCTCTCGTCCCGTTGGTCGCATTAGACGGTCTGACGTACAGATGTAGATATAGATAGACAGATAGTTTGTTGCTTTAATCGAATTGAACCCTTTTCAGTGCTGAACAGCTACTAGGTAGTAATGAAAAAGACAAAGTTACCTTTTGGGGTAAATAGTCAAGTTTCATATGTACTGTACTGTTTGAACATACATGTACAGTACTTGGTAGTCGAGATCGTCTCGTCAGTCAAAAATAAATAAGTAGATAGGTAGATGGATAGATCGATTGTACGACTTCATTTTGTGTCTCCATTGACACTTTTTCTTTTATTTCTTTCTTTTCATTCAGAACAAATGCATATATTATGCAGCATACATGGACATAATTTAAACTACACAATCCGACTCTCCGGCGGACCGAGATAACTATCCCTCTGCCCGCCCAGATCAATGACAATCTTCTCAAACACCACGCCAGGCTCAAGAGCCCACAGCTTGAGCGTGTGCGCGGATCCCGTTCCTGTTGCACTAGTGCTGTTTCCGTTAAAGCCCTTGATTGTATACGACGTCGTCGACGCCCACACGTTGTTGGACACGGCCGAGGGCCAGTCCGGTGGGTAGGTGCCCAGCACCGTGCTCGGGACGTACTGCACTACCTGGGGATTGTCGTCGTCGTCGAAGGCCAGCGCGTATCGCAGCGGTCGGTCAGGGTTGACGTTGAGTGACGGTCCCAGGTACAGCGTTATGTTGACGGTGCTGCCGTTGGCCGCAGGGCTGAAGAGGTACATGTCGTACTCGAGACGCGGGGAGGAAGGCGCTTTCTGTGACGGCGCGTTCACCGGCAGCAAGGTGACGCCCGACAGTGTGCGTCCGTACCCCGGGATCACGGCGTAGGAGACGTTCGCCGTCGAGGTGTTGCGCGTTGCGTGCGGCGCCTCGATGCTGACGACGCCGTCCGACTCGACGAAGCCGTGGAAGGACGCTGGCACGACCGTCTTGTTCACGGGGAGCTGGACAACCGGCATGGCCGAGTTCCCGTAGTCCCCCGTCGGGAAGTGGCCGGTTGGGATGCTGACGTTGATCGAGACGAGGCTCGAGCCGATAGGAGCCTTGTCCCAGTCGACGGACAGCTGCACGCGGACGTCGGTGGTCGTTCCGTTTCCACTAACATGGACGGTGCCGGAGGACGGTGTCGCGGTGACCCAGGAGACGTTGGGGGAGATTTGGAACTCGAAGCTTTCAGTTGAGCGAGAGTAGATCTCGATCCAGCGCGTCGACGGTCCGTAGGGATCTATGGGTGGCAGGGTCAGGGTGGTACTCGACAAAGCGTGGTATTGATCGTCGCCAGGGACAGAGGCATTGCTGCCCTCGACAGAAACACCCATTGGACCCGCCAAACTGTCCTCTAACAGCTGAGTGTATTGGAGAGGGGGGAGTGTGTTTCTCATCGGCTGCTGCCTATACGAATCCGTTTCAGCAAAACCTCGGTCAAGGTTATTAGTAAAAAAAAATACTCACCAGTAAAGGTAACCCAGATGCGTCTGGTCCATGATATGGTTCCATTTTCCATCAAGAATCTTGTGATAGGAAACCGTCAAGTCGTGGTCCTCTTTGAACAGTTTCAACGCCTTGTCTGCCATTGCCTTCGCGCTTGTCCGTCTCTGGGACGCATAGAGATTATTCTTGGCGGCCGTAACATGGATCTGAGTGATGATGTGGCCAGCCATGCAAGGTTGCAATACCAGCTCGAAGAACGCCGGCCGGGCAGCTTCGCTGAGTCCGCGGTACACATCACGGGCATCGTTGACCAGACTCTCCCATTGACTCACCACGTTGTTAGCCTCGTTGTAGTTGATGATGCTGAACGTGCTCGGGGTGATCATCTCGAATTTGCGTCTAGCTGCGTACTGGCCGTAGCGGTTTACGATGTCTGCGACTTTGTCGGCCCCCGCTGCCCCGAATTCACGAGTGGCCCAGAGCTTGAGCCACCGGCTGGTGCTGTCCGGATCGGACCAGCTGGGTGTATCGTAGGCCAAGTCGAAGAAGTGGTTAGTCGGGATTTCCTAGTCATCTTGTCAATATATGACGGATATTCCCACGGAAGAGGCTTGCTAACCAATGCTTTCAAGTCGCCAACATTCACGATCCAAATATTCCTTGCCTGCCGCTCGTATGCGAGATGCATCTGCTCCCAGGTTTTCTGCAATGAAATAGTGTTGATCCACTTGTAGTCTTGGGGGTCCCCGACGTAGTCAAAGTGATAATAGACGCCAGCACCGCCAGACCGTGCAGTCTCATTGCCAATCGGCAGTCTCTCGATGTTCCCCCAGTTGTCGTCTGCCCAGAGGAGCGTGATATCGTCCGCCACACGGAGCCCGTCTTCGTAGTAGCCGCCCACTTCCTTGTAGAGACACCACATCTGCGGGATCCAAGAGATGTTCGTCGTGTTGAAAACCTCGGAGAGGATCTGCTCCTCCGCGGCGACGATTTGCGCCAGAGTTGTGGCGTTGATCGTGGGCGATGCCGTGTCGCCGAGACCTCTCATGCCCATAGTATATATGACCTCGTAATTCTTGGACCTCTCGACGCCTTCTTTCAGGAACTGGTAGATGTTTTTCTCGTTCGTAAGCCAATTCCACGGGCCCTGGAGAAGCAAGCTCTGCTCCAGAGTCCATCGCATCAGGGGCTCTGTGTGGCTGGTTCCAATCACAATCCCGTACAGGTCTGCTGTGGGGAAATTGCGCGGATCGTCCAGAGCGAAGATGTTGCTCCATTCTGCCGGCCACAGGTAGTTGGCTCTCAGCCTCAGGAGGAGTTCGAACACGTGTGCGTAGAAGTCGGCGTTGAACCCAGGCCCATACTTGCAGGGTGGGTAGTTCACATTGATCCAGTTTGTCAAGGCAGGTGCCTCGTCGTTGATGAACAATCCGCGGTATTTGACCGACGGCGAGCCCTGGATTTTCTTCGTGTCCAAAGCGTATATCTCCTCGTGCTGAGCGGGCGGCACGTCGGCGAACCAGTACCACGGCGAGACCCCGATCTGCTCTGAGATGTCGTACAGCCCGTAGACAGTGCCACGCCTGTCGCTGCCACTGACGACCAACGCCCGCGATATCCCCGGGAAAGGATTGTCCACGATTTCGGTCTGGAAGGCCTCCCATCTGCCCTCTGTCGCGGAGACGTCGATCTTGCCGGACTGCGCCAAAGCATTGATGAGACTGGAGTTGCCAATGGTGCCGGCGATAATCACGGGGCCCTTGTTTGATACTGCTGCTAGCCCAGACGACGTTGTGGTGCCATTGATCACCGTTTTGGTCAGGTTCGTTCCAGTAACACGCCCAAAGTCCACGGCAAGGTCACCGGCTGCTCTCAAGACTGCCGGCCAGTCGGCTGAATCGAGAACAACCGTTCCAGGGGGAGTTCCTGGGCCTGCAAGCTTCAGATATCCTGGACTGGAGGTGAAGGCGACGACAGGCTGTTGTCCAAGGGCATGTGCTGCTCCCCATAGGGAGACGCACCCCACAAGGAGACTGGAGAGGATCATCTGCACACAATGAAGACTGACTCTCTCTTCTTTCCGGGTGAAAAATCCACATCCCCAGGGGTAGCCATTTGCAAATTGCGAGCGCAGGTCCCTTTAAATAGCCGGCCGGGGCATCGGCACCAACATCAGGGTGGAAATTGATATGGCCCAGCCCAGGCCTCCTCTCCTTTCTGCGGAAGAATTGCATGCTCCCCTATACCAAACTAATGATAGACAACAGGGGATACGTCATGCAGCCATGTTGTTGGGGTAAATCCGGCAAATACCCCGGAGTACGACAGCGGCTTGTTTCCCCACAAACAGCTTCGACGATGGCGTTTTAGGCTAAATGTTACCCCAGAAAATGGTTGACCATCTTGATCCGGCAGTTGCTGTCGGGCTGACAGTGTATCTTGGTCTGCGAGAGCTTTCGGGAATTCATTCGATCTGCTGCAGGAAGAAAGCACATGGTTGAAGCTGGTCTGCAGACACGAAGTTGCAAGTAAAGATCTGCTACTTCAACAGTAAAGCGAATCAGTATACAAGACTTCGATCAGATAAACAAATCTTGGCCTGCAGTGTAATGATAAAGCCAAGTCCGATACGGAGCGGAACTAGTGGGGTAGAAAGGAATATATATAGTTCCAAATTCTGCAGACACAGCTGAACACTCATATTCCACTAAATCCAAGTCTGCAGTGTAAACAGGATAGTAAAAAAAAAACTCCACCGGAGAATAACTCTACAAGCATTACCTCCCTGAAAATGGCCGTGGTGGACGAGAAGACATCAGGAGAGCTGAAGACACGTGAGGGCCTGACTAAGCCGCAGCCACGTGTTGCAGAACTACGGAGGATGAAGCTCCTTCAGGATTATTCCTGGCTGTTAATGTACAACACTCGTTTCACCTCTTCTTTTAATTGGACTGTTACTTTGTCGCTCTTTTTGCAAATGTTTTTCTTTGTTTGATCGTTCCCAATTCTGTGTCACTATCCCGTCCTGCCACTTGTCTCCTCCCGCCCCTTTTGCCAAACCTCCCGTCTATCTACTTCTCACCACGCAGCCTACGCCAGCAGGATGGCAGCTCGTCCGACGGCACGTGTCTTTCTCATCAGCGTCGTTGTCGTTTTCTTCCTCGTCGACATTATTTTTCTTCGTCCCCAAGGCCCGCCCAGTCCGGCGAGCCGCGCGCCCGGGCATCTGGACAAATCCTTGCCCAACCTCGAGATCGATGATGACATTTTGAAGGGCAACGTGGTGATGCCGAAATTGGGAAATGAAACTGCCAAGTAAGTCCAATTGCGGTCGTCTACAGCGCTGCTGTCATGCCCGTGCAATTGAAGCATGCTGACGGGCGCGATTACCTCACAGAGCGGAGCTGGGTCGGGCCACGTGGAAGTTCTTTCATACAATGATGGCGCGATACCCCGAAGAACCAACGGAGGAGGAGCAGGAGGCACTCCGCTCCTTCGTCTATCTCTTTGCGCGATTGTACCCATGGTAGGCGGCGGCTTCACACCATCCGGGCGGATTTGGAGGCTAATTCCGTTTCCCAGCGGCGAATGCGCAGCTCACTTTCAGGCACATCTGAAGAAATACCCGCCCCAAGTCTCGTCACGGAATGCGGCGGCTGGATGGGCGTGCTTCATTCACAATGAGGTGAATCAGATGCTGAACAAACCCATATTTGACTGCAATAAGCTGGGCGACTATTACGACTGCGGGTGCGCGGACGACGAGGACGACTCCACGTCTTCGTCCAAGTCCGGCGACCAGGTTGACAAGACGGGCGGTGTCGGAGGAAGGAAACAAGCTGATACAGGAGTGGAGGAAGCGCCCCTTGCCGTGGAGATTACGAAGGAACCGTGAGTCGGGCCCTTGCCTGCGCCATCTGTCGTCCGGCATGGATACTGACTACCGGCTTAGGCCGACACGGGGTGGATAGAAAACAAGATAATTTGAATTACGGTCTACTGTGCGCGTCTTGATTCTTGTGACAGATACCACCCTTACCACATTCCCGCTGGCTGGCAGACTATCTCAGGCGGGACTGGATGCGCCCTCCTTGTTTTCTTTCTCGGATCCTCCTACCGAGCACACATCCAAAAATTGAGCCCTACACCCTCTTCCATAATAGCTCGAATTACCATCCGCAGGTAGGATCTGGTGCTAGTCGGGATGAGATCATGGAGGCGTGCTCTGTGCTGGATGAGGAATTGCCTGCATTCGCGGGAGGGTCATTGGTCCCATGACTCGCGATAGTCTGCATCGGGGCGCTTGACGGGCGAAGCGGCTTCCCGACGATGGGAGTGGCGCGCTAGTCGGTGGTCTATTTTAAGGCTATCCCTGGCTCCTCGACTGGATATGACAGCTCTGTAGAGGGATCGAGGATCGGAATTTGGGTATCAATGACAGGATGTGCACACCACCATCTGTTGGTTGCCTTTTCACGTGCTACGGTCACTTGACGCTGCCAAGACCCGGGATATCACCCGCTTGTCGCCGTCTTCTATCTACGAAGTAGGCTCTTTGAGTAGCTACGAGCAAGTATGCTGTCGTATCGGCATGTCCAGGAATGTGACATCGAACGGAGGATATACGTAAGCCCTATCCCTGGATAGAGGGGAGATATTGCGATCCTCCCGATCGCAGACACTGCCCAAGGGGCACAGCTGCAGGGCGTTATTATTATATCCCACCACCACTAAGTCTGATCGCCAGCCCGCCGCACCAACGCCTCTCCTCTCGTTAGGGGCCAATAACGGAGGGAGGGGTGGTGAGACTGCACGCGGTGGTTGGGCGATTGCCGCAGGTATCTGTCTCCTGACTCCAGGCGTCGAGGGAGTCGTTCGTGATTTGCGAGCCACCCTGGTTGGTGGATGGCAGTCTCAGCTGTCGCGTACACAAGGCTCAGACACGGTCTCCTGGCCCCAGGGGGCTACAAAAGTAAACACGGCAGGTCGCGCCCGCGCCTCTCTCAGCGCAAGTGCTGTATACTGGATTCCCGTGGAAAGGAGAGTAGTTTTGTCTCTGCGATCACTCGATCTCATCTGCTTCTGATATTTTTATTGTCCCTCTGTTCCCCGCGTTTGACTGGTTTGCTTCCTTCGCCCAGCAGGGAATAGCGGCGCCTGAAACAGGACTAGCGGCAGGCCCCTCGCGCTGCCAATCATCTCGCAGTTCTCGTCCGATCGAGTCGAATGATTTTACGCGCCGGAAAAAGAATAAACACGGCATCAACACTGCCTGAAGACGACCGCTAGTCGGCAAAAATAAAGGGGTGCGTGTGTCAGAGAAGACAGCAAGTTTTAAAGATTGCTCCCCACCTCTCTTCTTGGGTAACTTTCTGAGTCTGCTTGTCCGACGGGCCGTAATTGTTATTCGTGTTTTTTCACCGCCTCGTCGAACCGGCATCACTGTTTTTCTCTCCCTGGATTGGGCACGAAAGACGACGAATCCACACCCGAAAACTGTGCTTCTGCAGCCTCACTAACACGACTTTTCCAATCGATTTCTCGTTGCTATTCGACTCGGATCGACTCGCGTCTCCGCTGTCGCTGACTCGTCGCCTGACGGCCCAACCGTCGACCTGCGCTGGCGCCTGAGAACCGGTGTCGAGAAGATCGAGGCGTAGTACCAAACTCAGTACAACGGGGCGACCATGGTGTCGTTCCAATGCGAGGTGAGTTGGATGGGTCTTTTTGTGCCTTGCGCTGGTCATTCGCTGGCGTCAAGGACGCCCACTGCAAATGAAAAAAAAAGGCATCAACGCGTTTAGTCGCTGACTATGACATCTTCTTTGCATAGGCGTGCGGCGATGTCCTCACCAAGAAGAAGCTGGATCCTCATCGCGGTCGATGTCGCGGCGCCTCATTCACCTGCATTGATTGCATGGTCCACTTCCAGGGCACCGATTACAGAGCACATACGGTACGACAGCTGTTCCTTCTCTAGTCGTTTTTTTTTGGTTCTGCTACGCGCAATGGACGGTGGTCTCAAGGACTATTCTCGCTACAGGGCTGCCGGGCTACTGATTCGGCCCTGTGTTTGCGGGGTGGAAAAATTTTCAAGGGTGCGACAGGCTGCGGCAGTCGCTCGATTCTGTGCCTGCGCAAATCGCATGAGTTTATCTGACTAGTCTGGCTGCACCTTGATGCCCATTGCGCCCGATTGTGACCCGATTGGCGCTGCGAGAGGTCAAGAGCTGCCGTACCTGGCGTGATGCCTTGTTGGAGTTTTTGCTGTCGTCCCAGCCAGATTCCATTGGATGAGGCTAACGATCCTTCTTTGGCGCAGTCGTGCATGACGGAGGAGCAGAAGTATATGGGCGCCCTATATAAGGAGAAACAGTCGAAGCAGCAGAAGAAAGCGGCGAACAACTCCAACGCCGCCAAAGCGAAGAACGACGACCAAAACTCCAAGAACAACAAGCCTCGCCACCCATACGTGGAAGACGCACCTGATGCAGACGATCCCAAATCGAAGCAACCACCTCCGCCGGCACCGAGTCCTCCGCCTGCGGCGACGGCTGCACCTCCGCAAACAACAGTGCCTGCCCCCGGAAACGAGAATAACAACAGCAGCAGCAACAGCAACAACGACAATAACACCACTACTAATAAAGTCAACGTATTCGACTATCTCGTCACGGACGAAACCCCCAACGCGTCTCGAGTGTCGCTGGGTGCACCCAAGGAGCAGATGAAAATGGTCGCCAACGCGCCGTCCGTCTTCGAGCCGAGCAGGGCTCTGGCCCGAGTCGACACCGACGTGGACGACGAAGAGAAGGAATACGACATCGCGTACGAGGAGAATGGTTTCTCTTATGGCGCAGAACCCATCAAGCCGTCTGTATATCCAAACCAGGCCTCCAATGTGTCCATGGATTTCATGACCCCGGCGCCAAAGAAGTCCAAGGATCGGAGCCGTCGCAAGAAGGATGAGGGACGCAGCTCGCCGGACCCGGGTGAGAAGAACGGGATGAGTGCGACAACCAGCGAGAAGAAACGGAAGCGCGGCCGTGTGGAGGATCTCGACGTTGCTGCTGCCAACGCGCGGTACGAGGAGGACACGCCCATGGTGGATGCCCCGTCCAGCGTGGCGAACAACGCGGGTACGCCGACTCTGAACCACTCCGGCCTGACCGGAGGCTTGGATCGGATGCTTCGCGACGACCGGAGGTCGATGTCCCCCGAGTACGAAGACTATACCGATGACGAGCAAGATCCCCGCCGGTACCAGGACCCGCAATCGCCGCTCAAACGCACGCGCCGGGGAGAGAAGGCAAGCAACGGCGACAATGGACTGGGGATCTCGATCAAGGGTCGTGCGGGCCGCATTATTTCGATGCTTGGGGGGTCGGCGTTGTCTGGCAGCAACGGCAGCACTACGGAGGCGACATCCAAGGCGCTCGTCCGGACGCGGCGCAGCTCGTCGGAGGCAGACGGGCAGCACGGAGGTGCAGTGGTGCATATTCGGAAGTCCAAGAAGGCGCCTCGCGTGCGGCATGTCAGCAACGGCACGTCGGAATCGCGCAAGTCGAAGCGGAAGATCAGCAGCGGGGACGGCCACCATGAGCAGGGCCGACCGTCGCGACGGCTGAAGGCTATAGAATATCAACCTCGCGACTCGGAGGGCTCGCCGGGGGGAGACGACAACCGCAAGCTCGTCATCTACCGACACAGCAAGATGACGGATGAGGAGATCCAGCGGGAGAAGGCGAGCCACTTCCTGTCGCTGGTGACTAAGGGGCCAGAGAGTCGACGGGGCTGCTCGGTCCACAAGGCGCTGAAGCGATTCCACCGGGCCTACCCGTCAGTGGCAGACTCGGACGATTGCGACGACGACCGACGAGGCCGAGGCCGGAGCCGGTCCGACAAGGAACGTCGGTACGAGGAGGAGAAGGAGTTGTGGCGGACTCTTCGGCTGAAGAGGAACGACAGGGGGGAGGTGGTAGTTTTCTTCTGACGAGTCGATGCCGTACGATGCTATACGATGCAGTCGACGATGGAGTTTCACGGTGGAGTTTGGGTTTATATTATATACGAGTGGGCTGATTGATTGACTGACTGTATGCATCAATGAGCATTTCGCTTCACGTACTGGAGGGAAAAAAAAGAAGACGGACTGGGGAATGTTACTGACTGATTTCTTTCCTGCATGCATTATCACTATTCTGATTCAGCAATTGCAATTGCAATTGCATTCGCATTGATGATGGTGTCGAACGTTGCTAGCATTGCGTGGATGTTTATGTATGTCTTTTTTTTTCTTGAGCGAGGCAAGGCGAAGTTAGGCGTTGGAAGAAGTTTCTTTTCTTATGACTGCCATAACTAGTTGTACGCGTAAAGTTTGTCTTTAATTGAACGGCTGGACCTACATCTTCAAATGGAACGTATTAATTCATTTGATGAATTCATTATCATTATCAAGCAGCAGCAGCAGCAGCAGGATTGCTTAGTAGAATCTAATCCAATCCTATCCTATCCAATCCCATGCCGTCAATGGCCAGGAATCTGGAATCAGGGTGATGATGATGATAATATTGTTGCCATTGTCTGGAATCCTTACTATTTATATTCGTTATAGTTACCTATATATAAGAGGAGTGGATAACCACTAAGTAACCATTTTAACCACTTTATATTGTACTCTGGTTCTATGCTGTCAATTGATCCTATACTCTATTCTATATTTTTTTCTATTCACGTCATACTCCCTACTCCGTAAATCAAGCCCTGGTTCCTGGCACGCTAGTAAGAAGCCGGTGCGGTGCCACCTGCTGGGCCGCCGCCAGTGTCCATTAGGCCCGCAGGGAATTTCTCCACAGGTGGGTAATACTCTGTACAGAATCTGGAGTATGGAGTACGGAGTATTCTGTCCTCAGTACACGTATGCTGGTTCGAATAGCTACTTGTCTTGTCTTGGAGTTTGAAGCAGGGCGTTTGTTTGTTCAATAGTCAGTCAGTGCTCTGCTCTACTCTGCTGACTGACATGACATGACATGCTGAGTGTGACTACTGGACTGCACATGATGGGGTAAAGAAAGATCTCCAGATCCTTTCTTTTCGCACTCTGCAGTCTATAGATACTTGATCGCCGGGATTGACGACAATCTAGCGATTAATGCTGATTGCCATGCCATTCCCTCATCGCGTGTTCGCCCCTTAAATGAATGAATGGGTCTAGTCTGAAGTTGCAGAGGAGGGGGTGCTTTTTCTTCTCTACGTATAATACTCTGTACAGAGTACGGTACATGTATGTATAGCGTAGACCGTACTTAATTACAAGTACATATAGATGGGCGAGACGTTGCAAATTTGATGGGTCTGGTCTACTTGTAGTGAACATGGAGTACAAGTAGATTATGGAGTACATACTTGTCAGCGCGCCTGCTGTATGTATGTATGCATGCATGTACTGTACAGTATATGGTGCAGAGTGCGGAGGATCCTATACTCAGAATAATAAATAGTATGGAATATAGTATACTCCGTACAGCGTACATGATCTGAAGACCCACACAGAACCGAATCCTGCATTTGTATTTATGTTTCAATGGGGTGTATAGGTTATTCTGACACGTGTGTGCAGATTGCAATATTGTACTGTATAGTCTGTACTGTACTCCCTCTGGATATACGATTTCTAATTCAGCTGCCTTGGAAGGACCTCCTAAAAAAAAAGAAAGAACGAAAAGGAAAATCACAGTACGAGACTTGAAACGAAGACCAAAGTATACGTACAGTACATACAATAATATGCTCTGATCAGATAATTGTCGTATTCAAAGAGATGTACACAATATTTACTAGGCAGACTATGCAATACTTACCTCTTGGACCTCTTCAGATAAACTGTATGTAACACGGGGCCTGCTCTGCCGATCTATTGCATTATTGCATCCCCACTGATCCACAGGATCAATACAGTTATTCTGTGCTGTTCATGTAGATCTTGCCAAATATACTATCTAGACGCTGCAAGTATGTTAGTAATTAGCTGGCTATGTAGAAGGCAATTTGCGCGTGGCGTACTGCATTCTTTGTACTGCATACTTTGTACAGTACATCATTTCCATTCCCTTCCATGCCATGTAACTGGCCTTGTAGTTATCTGCCTATTTTATCTGGCAAGCATTGGCCAACAAAACTAACTCATCAATTGATTATCTGTGTAGGTAGGTATCTACGTATACACATCTATATACTATGGAGTAGGGACAGAGGGCAGGAGCAAAACCAACAAAGTCATCTACTTTCACTTGGTATATGCAATATTTTCATTGAATGCAGGTACACCCTCTTAACAAGCAGACTAGTCTAGACAGAGATGTGGATAGATAGATAGCTAACGGATGACAACTGGGACAGGTCTGCCCCTGCGCTCTTTGCGTCGAGATCATTGAGGACTTCCTCCATGAGTACCATGTCTGCTCTTAAACGGGATTGATATCTAATTGATTCCGTAGAGAGAATTTAGCAGGACGGATCTGATAGATTAGATTGCTTTGATTTGTTTTGCTTTTCATCTGTCTTTTATCCTTTCCTCGGAAAAAGACTCTACCGTACTCACATTTGCTTTATTCTGACAACATTAAAGGGGAGATGGGAACTCCGTAAATAGAAAAGAAAAGAAAAATATGCAAAGGATCAGGGACAGGAAAGGTAGGATGGACATAAGCTGTTTTTCCTTTCTATAATTCTTCCTTCCCTTCTTTTTTCTCTTTCTTTTATGAAAACAGAGCTTATATTATCGATATCAGTAGCCGTAAGACTCAAAACATATAGTAAGGTCAGAGCCATGCGGGAAAAAAAAGAAGAAGAAAAAGAAAAGAAAAGAAAAGAAAAGAGTATCAAAGGGTAGAGAAGGAAGTTAGCAAGTGCCTCGAGTCAGCCAGATTAGGCAGGTCAGGACTGTCAAGAGAGTCAACGGAGTGCATTCTTGCCGTCGTGTCAACACACACAAAGAAGCGAGCAGCTAAAGTGAGAGGCCAGGTCCCCTGCTGAAATTTGTCAGGCAAGTCAGCGAAGTCAAGTAAAGTGAGGGTTCCATATTCTGCCATGAGATGGGATGAGGTCAGGTCAGGTTAGGACAGGTTGATAAAAAAAAGTTGTTTGTAATCCAAGAATATAATATATTTCCACAAACCCATGAATTAGAAGACTAAATCAAGGCCTCTTATTAACTCCCTCCTGCTTCTCATACAGCAGCTAGCTAGCTGGCTAACTTGTCAAAGTAACAGGAGGTGCGTTGACTGAATAACACTGATCAAGAAGGGTGTTTCATTCAATTTCAATATACATACGAGTAGGTTCTTTAGCTAGCAACATAAGAAACTACTGCTATTATTTATCAGGCAAGATTTATCTCCTTGACAGCTCTCTTGTGAAAACATTTCTTTGGGAAAATCCCCATCGAGATTGTCATTGTCTCGATTATCGTGACGTGGTCTGATCAAGAAGCGCTTGTTAATTTAATCCGTTTGAAGACTGATAATGACGGGGGTTTTTTTTGTATTATTTTCAAAAGATAAAACTCCTGATAAATAGGGGTAAAAGACCTTTCTCCAGTTCACAGAATAGAATCAGCACGGGTATTCATTCTTCCATTAGCGTGGTCTCTACAGGACAGTCGCCAAATACTTATATCGCAAAAGATACATATATGTATCTAGGGACACCTGCTGTCTGCTGTAACACGTGTTTATCATCTTGAAATTTCTGAACATTTTATACAATTATCTCTTTTTTCTTTTAAATGAATTCCAGAAAAGCACTTTCTAGGGCTTAATTCCGTTTTCCGTGGCTGATCTGATAAGAGCGTCCAATCGGATCTGAGGATGGATAAATTTCCGGCGGTCTCGAGACAGTCGAGACGAGTCTGGCTGGGCTGGCTAGACGATCGCGCAATCTTATTATATCTTTAGTTCGTCTTAGTCCGAGCTAAATAAATAAGAATTATAATAATCACGGAATTCCTCCGCGAAGATGGATATCATCGAACTTTTTTTTTTTGCCCCCCAGCCGTCCTGAGCCATGCCCGCCAACTCAGCTGGCAAGGAAGAAGATGCTGATAGAGAACGGCAGGAGGAGCAGGCCTCCGCCTCAGGACGCCCTGCCTGCTTCAGCAGCACCGTCCAGGAATGTCTGTTCGTGCTGACGGCCACTATGGCCATCGGCCAGAATTCCTTCTACACCGGTTCCATCACCGGCGTCACCGCGTCCATCGGCCGGGATCTCAACATGAACTCGGCGGAGATCACCTGGATCAACGCGGGTGCTGCGTGTGTACCTCTCTTTCTTTATCAAGATACAGTACGATTTGTATGCTGACAATGTATGTACAGCCTGAGCAGCGGCGCCTTCCTTCTGACCTTCGGCAAACTGGCCGACCTGTTCGGCCGCAAAAAGATGTTTGTCGCTGGCATGGCGGGCTTCACGCTCGCGCTGGTGGTCGCCGGCTTCGCGACGTCGGCCATCTACATGGACGTCTTCTCCGGCATTCTGGGGCTGTTCTCCGCCGCCGTCGTGCCCCCTGCCGTAGGTGCGCTGGGCGTCGTGTACGAGAAGCCGTCGAAAAGGAAGAACCGCGCCTTTGCGTGTTTCAGCGCTGGCAATCCTCTGGGCTTCGTCGGCGGGATGATCATCTCGGGGATTGCGGACCATGTGGCCAACTGGCGGGCCACGTTCTGGGCGTTGGCGGTTCTCTATGCCATCTTCACCCTCTTGACCGTCTGGACGGTCCCAAATGATCCGCCAGACGGCACGGCGCCGTGGAACTGGGAATCTTTCAAAAAGTGTGACCTTCCGGGCATGCTGCTCGTCGTGACGGGAGTGTCTTTTTTCTCCAGTGCTTTATCGTAGGTGTTCCTTCGCGTCGACATCTGCCAGACGGACTTCTGACGGATTAGGCTTGCCGGTGATGCGCCTGATGGGTGGAGGACCGGCTATGTGATTGCACTGCTCATCCTGGGCATTGTTGCCATGGCCGGCTTTCTCTACTGGCAGTCAGTAGCTGCGTATCCATTGATGCCGCTGTACGTGTGGCGCGACCGAAACTTCTCGCTGGTGAGTACCTTCCAGCCATATTCTCTCACTTTGACTAACTGAGTAGCTCATGCTCATGCTCTGCCTCGGATTCATGGGGTTCATGTCCGCTTCGTTCTGGCTGTCGCTGTATCTGCAGGAGATCAAGCACTCGTCTGCCATCGAAGTCGCCGCGCAGCTGCTGCCGATGGTCATCAATGGGATTCTGGTCAATATCGTCTGCGGCCTGGTCCTGCACAAGGTCAGCAACAAGCTTCTCATGCTGATCGCCACGACGGGCTATACGGCGTCCTTTCTCATCCTTAGCTTCATGAAGGAGGAGAGGCACTCGTATTGGGCGTTTATCTTCCCAGCCCTGATTCTGGTCGTTGTGGGGGCTGACATTGAGTTCAACGTGGCTAACGTAAGTTTTTTTTTTCTTTAACCACCTCTATTATCTGTAGAGAAATACAGACTGATCCGATGGATCTGTACCTAGATGTACGTCATGTCCTCGCTCCCCCCATCCGACCAATCCCTGGCAGGCGGCATTTTCAACACCGTGACCAAGCTCTGCAACAACATCAGTCTGGGGATCAGCACGGCGGTGTACAACGCCGTCCGAGATCAGAACTCGGGAAATGCTATTCGGCCGTATCTTGCGACCTTTTGGTTTTCGGCCGTCATCGCCGGCCTGTCGATGTTTATGGTGCCGTTCCTGAAGTTGGGGACGCAGGGTGGGGGTGAAAAGGGGGAGTTGTCTGATGAGGCGGACGTTGAGGAACGGACGACTGCAGAAAAAGTGTCGATTTAACAGATCTAATTATGCGTGAGAAGAAAGATAGAATTCTGCGTGGAAGATTCTTTGTAGTAATAGATAGTTTAGTAGCATTGAGCCAGCTCAGAAGGAACAGAACTACATATAGATAAGCAATCATGGCCGTCATTGTAAGATAGTATAAACATACTTTTAGAAGGTTAATTTTTCTACATGTTTAGGGTTGCTATGCTATAAATACTACGAAATCCTTTTATGGAGTTAGAATTGACCTTGATAATTTCATCGTAAAATAACTGCCGGTAGCACGCCTTTTCATTTCGTTTTACGCTAGTACTGTCTGCTGACTATACGGAGTAACATCAGAAGTAGCCCTCTTTGAAGACCTCTTTATTACTTATCAATCAGATTAATCCTCGTCCGTCATCGAATACACCGTACCCCGGACGGAGTAATCAACCAAGCCATCTAAACGACAGGCTGAGCAGCGGCTATGTTGGCTATCAATCAATGCAAGCCTCTCAGTATTAGCAGGCTAGGCTAGACCAGGGTCACTTCCTCGCTTATTATTTTTAGACGGACAGCTAGCTAGACTAGACAGATGTTGGTGTGACGAGCTTATTTTATTTGACCCCAACCCAATCCTGAATTTGGATCCACACCCTGTCGCCGCAGTTTAATTAATTTATTTGCATCGCGGCGGTGTGATTGATTTGAGTGTGGCTGGGAATGAATGTGGTTGCCTACCTTGGTATTCATCGTCTACATACTTATCTATCTTTTTTTTTTGTTTTCTCGGCGGTTCATTTATCTGGGATAACTTGCTCATGGAAGATAGGTAGAGTACGTGTATGTAATTAGATGCCTGTTTATTCTAGATAAATAAGTAATACGGCTATATGCCAAGTGCGGGTGTAAAATCGCAGCTGACAGAATTCCCAGCATCCAACCTAATTACCCAAGAAAACTGCCAGCAACGAGGATGCGCTGTTCATGCTGCTGTTGTTGCACTCTCGATGATTGGTGCACTCGTCCAGCATTCGTCGTACGGCTGAGCCCCCGGAGAGAAATGGTGACTTATCGACAAAACCAACAACCAACAACGCCGTGCCGTACCAACACGTCTGGCTATGTTTTGGCTGCCGATAAGCGTGGATGATAACGGTGACTGTGCTGAGTGGGCGAATCATGTAAATCTATAAGTCTATACGCTCGTCTTCCCTGTAGGGCTGAACTGGCCCTGTCGGAATTACCTTACCATTGCTGCAAGTCTTCTGCTCCATCCTTGTCAGGATTGTGTCTGCGCCTCGGGGTAAAAATAACTGGGAAATAACTCTCTGATTGCTTGTTGCCTAGGGCATTGTCGACTACTTAATTCGGTGATATCTCTTCCGAGGAAATTTCTGATTTCGCTTCTTCATCTCTTCCTACTTAGTCTGGCAGGCTCCTCGATTCAGTCTGTTAATACATCGTCTGGTTGAATACGACTACTATGTCGTCGCCAACGACAACGACGGCCACCACCACCACGTCGACCTCGACGGCGTCGCCCAGCTGCATCAGCATCCCGCCCGGTAAAGATGGCTATCTGCCCCCAGAGGCCTGCGGGAACTTGCTGCTGTACGTCCCGTCCTTTGGGGCGGCGGTGTTTTTCGTCATCCTCTTTGCCCTCACCATGCTCGTCCATATCGTGCAGGGGTTTGTCTACAAAAAGGTATGTTTTTTCCAACCACCCACTAAAAGCATGGTAGCCAGACTAACAACTCCAACAGAAATACTGCTGGGTCGTCGTCATGGGCGCCCTCTGGGAGCTGATCGCGATGATCTTCCGGGTGCTGCTGACCAAACACCAGGACAACGCCAACTACGACACGTACCACCAGCTGTTCTTCCTGCTGGCGCCGCTCTGGATCAACGCCTTCCTGTACATGACGCTGGGCCGCATGCTGTGGTTCTTCGACGAGACCAGGCGCCTGGGCGGGCTGTCGCCGCAGCGCTTCGCCATGCTGTTTGTCGGCCTCGACATCGTGTCTTTCCTCGTCCAGGCGGCCGGCGCATCCATCACCTCGCAGAGCAACATCTCGCAACACATGCTCATAATGGGCATCCACATCTACATGGGCGGCATCGGCTTACAGGAGTTTTTCATCCTGGGCTTCGTCGGCCTGCTGGTCACGCTGCACCGGCGGCTGGTGCGCCAGGAGCGCCGCGCCGTGCTGCTGCACCGCCTGCACAACGGCAGCCTGCCCTGGCGCTGGCTGTTCTACGGCATGTATTTCGCGCTCGTCATGATCACCGTGCGTATCATCTACCGCCTGGTCCAGTACGCGACGGGAACGTCGCCCTCCAACTCGCTGCTCACGCACGAGGCCTACGAGTACGTGCTCGACGCCCTGCCCATGTTCCTCGCCCTCGTCGTACTCAACTTCACCCACCCGGGCCGCATCATCAACGGGCCCGACGCCAGCTGGCCGCGGCTAAGCCGGCGCGAGAAGAAGGGGCTGAAGCGCCAGAAGAAGGCCGAAAAGGCGGCCCGCAAAGCTGCCCGCAAGACCGGCCAGAAGGACTGGAACAGCAGCGACGTCGCGTTTGAAGCGTTGCGGCCGGCAGGAGAGGGCGTCGTAGAGAACGACTACCGGACTGACGAGCATGACCATCATGACTACCATACGGACTACAGCTATGGCTACGACAGGCATGAGGAGCGATACGAGTACCCGTCCGTTCCGCTGCAGCATCAGTATTAGGCTGGACTTCATACCCTTTGATTTTGTTTGTGCTGATGAACGTATGGGTTGGATTGCCGAACTGACTCAATATATTTATTTATGTTATACCCCTGCTATTTCATTCCATTTCATTTTATTCCGAATCTCCTTCCTTTCTACTCTTCTACACATTGTCACGCTTGATGGAATACACCCATGTCGCACTATGTATATGTTAGGCGGTTTGATTTGGTTTGGTTGGGTTGGACTACCAACGTTCTCTCTACTGAGGTAGATCTGTTTTACTTTTTTTTTCTTGTGTATATGGACAACGGGCACGCAGGAGGCATGATGAATAATACCAGATTAACAGAGAAATGACTTCTGATCAATCGATCAAGTTGGCAAATCGTGTTTAAGTGCAATTCGTCTATTTAACTAGTTATTGTAGTCAATATACCGGTAGTGGGGGACAATCATCAATCAGAAAATAGACATAAGTGTTTTTTGCGTCCGCTAAAAAAAAGTCCATACATGTTGCTGCCATCTACTCTACTCTAGTCTACTTTGTTCGTTATTGTCATCACTGACCTTTCTACTCGAATCGACTACTCGTCCGGACGCGGCACTCGCTGCACCCACCCATACGGGTCCGGCTCGATGCCCTTCTGGATCGCCTTGAGCGACTTGGACAGTCGCGCGCAGCACGGCCCCGGCTCGCTGCCGTACTCGAACACGTTGCCCGTCGACCTGCGCGTGATGGAGCGCACGGGCACGACCATGGCGGCCGTCCCGACGGCGAGCACTTCGCTGAAGTAGCGCAGTTCCGCGAAAGGGATCTGTCGGAGTTAGTATCATCCGGAGGAAGGAAAGGATATAGATAAGTAGATGATATAGGTGGTAAGGATATGTATGTACACACCGGTCGGACTTCCACTCCCCACCCAAACGATCGCGCCTGGTCGAGCACACTCATGCTCGTCACGCTTCGCAGCACCGACCTGCTGTCCGGCACGACGAGGGTGTATTTCTCGTTCCCGGCAGGCTTGACGCCGACGAAGCCGGAGGTGCTGAACTCGTCGATCTCCGAATGCGTGCGGCTGTCGAGGTGCAGGGTGAGCGTGAATCCTTCGGCATGCGCCTGGTCGCTCCATTTCAGCACCGGCGCATAGTTGCCGCCGACCTTGACGTGGCCCGTCCCGAGGGGCGCGGCGCGGTCGAACTCGTCCAGTACGAGCGCCTTGACGGGGCTCACTCCGTGGTAGGCCGTGAACGGCTGCGTGAAGACGCAGAACTTGTAGCCGGGCCCGGCGGAGACGGCGAAGAAGCCTTCTGACCCGAAGGCTAGCGGTCGCACGTACATGGCAGCCTCGCTGTCGTGCGGAGGGACAAATTCGGCGTTGCGCGCCAGAGCCAGGTACACGCTCTTCAGGAAGAGGTCCTCGGGGACGACGGGGATGGCGATAGCGGCGCAGGAGACCTGGAATCGTTGGGCGTGATCGGAGGGGCGAAAGACTAGGATCTGGCCTTGAGGGTCACGGTATGCTGGACTTCCTTAGCGATGAAGCAGAGAAATAGGACACCAAGAAAATACCCTTCATCCCCTCAAACGCTTGTTGACCTGTCGACGAGACCTGCCATCAGCATGCGCTGAACACGGTTGATTCAGTCGAAGGCAGACCATAGTTCAATCCCGGGGCCAGCCCGTGTACTCGCAGATACGGATCTTTGACAAACCGCGGGGCCGACCAGGTACCAGTGGCAGCGTCGTAATCGCATTCGACATGGCCGTTGACTGTCAGTCAGTCCGTCAGTCCGAGTTCAGTCGAGTATACCATGAGCGGCAGTTCTTGCCTTCTCTCACGTGCCCAAAGCCAAGCTTGTTCCATTCTGGTTTTTGTCAGCGGAGGACCGGGAGAACAGAGAACGAGATTGAAGCAAGGGAGAAAGAATAAAGAAGAAAGCAACAGTGACTGAGACAACCAACCAATGGACTCGACCGGGGCAGGAGGGAAATCCGCCATCGTGGATCGCAATCGCAACCAGACAGCCGTCGACAGGCGGGAAATGAGAAATAAGAAAGATGGTTTCCATCAGTCACTGTCGAGGAAGTGGCAGATTTTAGGCCCTCAGGTCGCCATGCAGTAGCGACTTTGCCAGCCATACGGAGTATGAGCCACCAGTGATGGCGTCGTCGCTGTTGGCCATTGCGGGGTCGCGACCAGGGTCTGCAGATAAGCTGACAAGTCACTGCCACCTCCTATGGCTGCATGAGGCAGTGCTGCAGTCCCACAGAAACAATTCATCATCGCCTTGTTCGATGATTTTATCAGGGGAAAATCCATATTCTGCCATGAGGAGAAGCGTCGGAGTACGCGGGGAAGCACGTTGTACTGTCCACGTGCCTCAAAGCTTGGCTTCAACAAACTAGATACAGATCATCGCCGGCAGCTCCAAGTCTCCTTGACTTTTTCTTGGCTGCAGGTCTCGATCGGGTCTTAGTCGAGGGCTTGGGGTTTGGGGCTAGGGCTGTTTGTTGCATGCGTGTCATGTGCTGTACCTGAGGCATCTCCTACAACCTGTAGTATACATACAAGCTTCCTTTCTCCTCAACTTTATGTACACGGAGTGTGCGAGTTGATATACTCTTCTTTCGGATGTGTCAGTTTTTTCAACTCAGTTCTATTCGGAGTACGATCCTAAATTCTTTCTACTACTGGACACCAAATCAGATACTGTATTGTCAACAAATGCGTAGTCTACAACTATTCTTTTCGAAATCAGCTAGATCAAGACGTCTTTTGCCAACCAGCTCTATAGTAACCTATAACTTCTCCGGCCAGTCTATAAATCTATACCCCAATAACAATCAACGAAAACAAACAGCAGTTGTAGCCCGCAAATGCAATGCCCAACACACGTTGATATAGGCACCAAGTTCTCCTCTACAAGTCGATAACCTGTCCCAAAATGAATCTGGCAGCAATACAGAGGAAATTTCAGAGAAAGAGAAGGAAGAAGAAAAGACCAAAAGGAAAGAAATAAGACCTGACACTGCAGAAAATTTTCCTTTCTGACAGTTCAGCCCCTATATCAGCTGTGCTTGTCATATTGCTATATTTCCTTTCTTGGGCATTTGGTCCAATGGGAAGGCCTGTTACATGTTTCCCCATGCGGTTAGCAACCAGGTTCCACGTGGTCATCAGCAGCATGCGCAGCAGCAGCTATACAGTCAACTGCTATGGGCGATATACTGACATGAAGCAGTCGGATAGATTCAGATTCCAGATCGCAGGTATAGGCCATGCGCTACTGCTAGGTGGGTAGCCTACAACATGCCATTTATCATCCTACTAGGCGATTCGCGACACTACTGTATCTCCTATTCAAAGTACATCTTGAAGATATCTTATTCGGGCCTGCCCAACTCCGTCAGGGACGGTCCAGCCCTGCCGAAGCCTTCTTCTATCCTATGTATGTACATACAGGCGGTCTTTCACCAGAGACTGCCTCAAACCGACATCTATCTAGTCCACCACATGCATATACAACCATGTGTCATCAGGGCACATAGATCTCAACTCAGTCCTGCTGGCAAGTCGGGGCGACCGGCGAGGAGCTGGTCACACCCGCGCCGTAGATGACCTGCTTGCCCGGGTGCCGGAAGACGACCTGCTGGTTCTCGACGGTCTGGCAGTTGTTGCCGGCGGCGCCGACGTTGGCGACCATGATCTTCGGGTAGGACGCGGCGACCGAGTCGGTGGTGCCGCTGCCGCCGGTGATCTCGACATCGGCGCAGTTCATGTACATCTCACGGTTGCCCTGCAGGTTGAACCAGGTCCAGGCGAACAGCGCCTTGCCGTTGGCGACGTCGCTGGGCATCTGGAAGTCGTACTTGGTCGTCAGCGGGCAGCCGCCCTCCATCGACTGGATGACGTAGAAGTTCTCGCCGTTGTCGTAGCTGAGCGACAGCTGGCACGAGCCGCCGCCGTGCGTGGCCGAGCCGGCGAGCGTCATGTTGTAGGTCTGACCGGCCTGGTAGGTGGTCACGGTGCGCCAGGGGGTGTTGTTCTGGTATCCCTTGCAGGGGAAGTTGGAGCCTGTAAAGTTCTGTTAGAACTTTGTGCCTTCTATCGCTGCATGTGCGGACAAACCATCAGCATTGAGTGGGCTCGTCATGGAGTAGTCAATGTCGCTGTAGTTGTTGTTCGGATCGAACTTGCTGCGCAGAGGGTACGGCCAGCTCATCTCCATATGGGCGGTAACCAGACCGGCCGAGAGGAGACCGAGAACAGTTTTGAAGAGCATTTTGTCAAGTATGTATTTGCAAAGTATGTACTGAGAAGCAGAAGTGAACAAATGCGAGAAGCTGGCCGAGTAAGGAATGAATATCGCGAACGCTCGAAGGAATGCGACTGATGTAGTTGTACAGTGCGTGATGATCTCGATTTCCACGTCTCTCAGAGGGTTCTTATATGTCAGTCGCTCGTCTCGACTCGACCATGGTTGCGGGTTAGGGTTGCATTGGCGTGCGGTTGCAATGAGGTTTCAACCATGACCGAGAATTGGGGCGATAGGATCCAAACCATCCAATACCCCATTGGCACGACCCAGGATGCCATACTGGGTATCCGCATCGATAGCCTGGCTGGGTTCTCAGCGGCTACACCGGCGTATCAGGCCATCTGTCTGCATTTCGATCCAAGTAAGGGATTGGCCAGGGTGGTCTAGGTAGTTCTCGACTCTGTGAACTGACTGCGGATCCAAACGGTGGAGGAACTCCACGTCAATTGATGTTTTGTGGAGAATCATTTAAAGTGCCTCCACCGACTGTCAGTGGCCAGAAGGGACTGCATGTTTGCCTCGCAGGCATCCCTTCATACCATGTGGCCGCGGATACTACCCAAGAATTCCAAGACGTCTAAACAGCGTATCGCCGCGCAGGTACATCGGCATGCTGATAGGCGCCAAATTCATTTTGTCCCCTTCGTTTATCCAATGGGATTGCGCCCAGCGGACATGGTCTGGGTGTTACGCTTATCAATTGAAACGCCGGATTGATGTTGCAGATCGCTGTGAGCCTAAAAACAACGTTATCTTCGTGTCAGAGAATAGTGAGAACATGACAACAACAGGTGGGAATCGAACACACAAACGGCCAGTTCAGACAGCAAACGCACCCACTTTGATCATGTCAAAACAGTTGACCCAGCGATTCGCTTGACGCCTGTTGGCGGTTGATTCCTGTTCCTGACGCGTTTCGTTTCAAGAAGGTTGCAGCGTGTGATTTCGTGCAGTCTTGGCACGCCGACTGGCCGGGAGCAGCCAATTGCTTGGCCCGCCGAAACGAATCAGCGGGCCAATCGGAGATCCAATCGCCGGCCATGGCTCGGTTTTCCGCCGGATGACTAATGCGGCACCTGACAACAAGCCCCAGAGACCCACGCAGCCAATTGGAGCCCCTCCGGCCGTTTAACGTGGTTCCAGCAGATGGGGAGATGGTATCGATGTCCAAGGAGAACCTGGTAGCTTATTATCCGGATGGCGATCCTCCATATCGCTTACGTATGCATATGCATAAGTTGAAGTATTCTAGAACGGTTAATGTCACTTTGGGAATTCACCTTTGGAAGCCATCCTCCCCCTCCAAATAAACAGGACGATAAGGAAAACGAAATCAAGTGACAACAACTACTACCACGTGTCTGCACAGCATCCAGCCCGCAGACGTACTGATAGATTATAGATACCGACATAGCAGGTATTATCTATCTATGTACCGGATCTACAACATCACGCTCCTACCTCTATCTAATCTGTACGTGCATGTACCACTGCAATGCAACCCATCCTCTTATCGTATAGCCCAACATGTAGTTACTTTACTCAACCTCCATAATCCAACCAGTAAAGCGTAGATTTTCGGGGAAGGGGCGGTGCTGTTTTTGTGGCTTTCATTCTGTATACAATAGAACTGGGTATGGCTTCCTGTGTTGTTGTTATACTTTAGAGTTGGGGCGAGGGGCCGAAAAGAGCGTATCGCGATACTACCTCTACATATACCCGTCAGCCTTGCCAGCGGAATCGAGTCCACTAGTTGATCATGCTAACCAGGTTAATCATAGATTCAAAGAATCGCTCCAGAAGACGATGGTGGCGTCGACTACTGCTTGCCGGAATTCTTGCCTCGGTTGCTGAAGCTGCTACCAGACTAGGTATTAGGTCAAGGAATCTCACCCCAAGGTAAATGGTCACATGAGGTATCTACGTCCCCATGGATTTGGGCCTTATTTAGCCTGTTTTCTGGCTTCGAGTTTAACCATTGTTGGCCTGAGCCTGGTCAACTAGGCAATCACCCTGTAATTAGTCTAATCTACAGTGCTTCATTATCTGCTTTGACTGAGTCTATGATACCCTACTGTATATGGACATACAGCAACTATGCTTCCATCTGCATATTGTGTTGTGTGAGGTGCACAAGGAAGTATGGCATAGTTCATCTAATTCACTGTCAGTGTTTTGCTCTATCTCCTTTCTCTTCGTTCTCGTGTCTGCAGCAGACGCAGGACCTTACAAGGAACACACATGTGACAAGTGTCTAGTCTTGCATATTGCATACCAGCAGAATATTGCTTATCGCACGCAATACACCGCTGTTCTAGCAGTGCAGAACGCTACAGGTTCTGCAACTTTACTCTCTACTTTGAAGAAGAGGTCTTATCTCTCACACCCTTTCTACTGCTTTGGGTTGCAGTTGTGTTAATTGCTTTTCCTGCAGCTGTGCATTCAGCCCAGTCTATTTTGACTCTACACTGACTGAGGATCGCAGTGTTACGTGGTTCAGTCAGTCTTTTCCATTCTTCAGTTCGTTGTGCTGCTCAACGCCAAAGATACGACTGTCGCCGATATCGGCTATCGCTCGCCCTCGTGACCACCGCTGCCTTGACCTCCTTCGCCCAGCCCGAGCATTGATTCTCTGTTCGCCTCGAAATCCTCCGTCTAGAATTGCATTTGCCTTTTCTCTGTATCAACTGGATCTGCAAGTACTTTTCGCAAGCCCAGAACCAATCTGAACGACAACCATACCAGTTCCTCTTGTTAGTATGTCAACCACTATCCTCGTTGTCATTGTGATGTGTTAGAAAAAAACATTACTACTGAGGCCATACGCGAGTCTCATGCTGCCGAAGGCTGGGAGAAATAAAGAGTGAAACTGTCTGCTCTGGCAGGACATCTTACGGCTTCATTCAGGCCTACAAATAGATGAGACCATAGCACCGCAGTCCGTTCGCACAGTTTATCAACCTGAATCCCGACATTCTCTCAGGTCTTAGGGGAATAATCTTAAGCTATGGTTTTTCGACAACCCTGTCCCTGGCTCCTTAAGATCTCCACCTCGTCACTGGTCAGGTTGGTCCGAAGTAGAAAGAGTCACATTCGAAGTCGTTTCCAAGATTTGTTCTATGCCAAGTCAGTTTCGACCACTCCCTTTGTGATCAATTGCGCACGCAGCACAACCTGGAATGTTCTAAGTATTTCGTCTTTTGAGGCAAAGCAGCTCTGCAGTAAGTTTCCCTAAGTGAAGCCAAAGACAATTTGACACTGGCACGAGCCGTATACTCGCGAGTAAACACAGTTTTCCTGGTCTCAATCCCATCATTGAGAAGCACAAATTCACCCGGTAGCGGAGCGCTACCTCAACTTGTCCTGCCAGATGCAGATCATATCATGACTCTCAACTAGGACAGTATGGTTCTGGAGGAAGCTTAATCCAAACTCCAAAATGGGCAAGGAATCACCACGGTACTTCCCACAGGTATGAAGTTGAAAAGTGAGGCCCTGTCCAATATTCAGGCCCTTTTCGGATAGATAACACGAAGAAGAAGCCGCAGATAGTAATGGCCAGACTCGAGGTTTGATGTAGACAAGTATGATTTTGCGAGACTAGCTGAAATGTACGCACGTACTGTACATACGGTAGATATCATTGATAGTTCGATCTATTCTCTGCATATTCTTTTATGGTGCATTTGTGTTCTTCCTATAGTTAGTTTTCTATCCTGTTTTTGTATTGTAACAATATATAAAATTAAAAATTCCCTGAGCAAAACAAGGCATTTCACGGATAGTAATGATACCTACTAACCACAGCTAAGTAAAGACGAAAATATATATATATATATATATAAGTAAAATCAAATTCCATCCCGTTCCATCACTCTGGATTTTACCTTGTGTTCAAATATGAAAGGTCAACCATAGTAATAGCTTTCGTCTGCTGCAATTAACTCTTTTATTTTTCACCCTTCCAGTTAATCAAACTAGGAGCAATCACAGGTATAGCAGGCAGATTACGATTGGTAAAGGTTGAGTTGCTGACGGCATAAGTTATGAGCTCCACAAGCCTACTTTTTTGGTCTAGAAGTTTCCAAATTTGTTACATGACTGGTCAGTTCAGGACAGGGGGGGTGATATACTCCAGTCTTGTCACTGACTTTTCCTGACTGATGCAATAAACACGGGAGAGTGCCTGTTCTTCGAGAGTGGACTCCAGTAGATCATTCACGCTAAAACTGGTATGGCTACCTGGAGCTTTTCAGTATCAGTGATCTTCTAATAATGTAAGGGAGGCCTGATAGGATGGATTTGTGTTATTTATTCTTCAGCCCGATAAATATCCTGTAATTATGGTTTGGGGGCTTCTAGCAAGAAGAACCAATACAACAACTTTAGGGACAACTAGAAGCAATTTACAGTATACATTATCCGCTAAATGGTGCTCTCATTGCCACCCGTCAGCGACAGGACTGTTGTGTTGGGAGACCAGTCTCAATAAGGAAAATGTTTAGCCCTTCTGGATTCGCTGAATCGCACATGCCAGTTAAAACTCCGTACTGATCGCCATGAGAGGTCCAGGCGGCTAAGTATTATCTTTATCGTCACTTCAGGATCTCAACTGATGGTTCTTAAGGGTCATCATGACTTCATTTATGACATGACATCTATTGGATGGCAAATACGTCCTTAGTGCTAGTTTAGATATTCCTGTATGCCCATATATATACAGCACCGCCTATCAGGCCGATCTGAGACTATAAATAAATAAATAGAAATCTCTCTCTATCCAAGATAGTCTGGAAGTTAGTAACCTATTAAGAGCATACATGATGGCCTTCAAACCTTTGCAGATGTAGCCCAGAAGGCACTTCTTATGACTTCAAAGTCTTATAAATTCTATGCTACGTTGAGCCCTTGCCCACAAAGGAGGTGAATATATATAGAGTAACCCCTAAGGGGAAAATACCTAAAAAGCTTAGGAAATCTTATTATATGCTAAGAATAGAGTATCTAAAGTGGGGTATATAAATGAGAACCATGCTCAAAATACCCTATACCTATAGGTATGCTATATAGTGGCATTATTTTACAGGATCGCTCCTGTATACCAGGCTACTTGAAGATCAGTGGGTTGAGCTAAGACTCGTTCTAAAAAAGAGCTTGGCCTGGCCCCACATTAATTAATGAGAGGGCCCATGTGTAGTTTCCTATCCATCTGATTCGTCAAAGAGCTTCGGGCAACTTTTCCTTTTTGGATATTTGGGTATAGATGGATCTTGGTGTGTCGTAATATTCACACGGTTGACATAGGGTTTTTCAATCTGAAAGACAGGTCTGAGAACGATGATAACGTCAATGCTTTTGTCTAATTTCATTTCGACGAATACTTTGACAGACGATATTTCCTCGTCCGAGCACCACTGCCTGGGCGTCAACATGATACTATTTTTGGCAAAGCGTGCAATTTGGCAACCCCACCAGGGCAGGGTCCGCCCCGCCAATCATCGTCTGCGCACTGCAGATCCCCCATGGTTATTCCGAGGACGAGGCCCGTGACCCCTCGCGATCAGGCCCCTACACACCCATACACGACAGTCCAGGACTGATCTACTCAACTGCAAACGAAGCCAAGTTCCCTAGATGACATGAAGTCGACGTGAAGGAAGTGGATGAGGGGTGGTCATCCACGTGTTTTACTCTTTACGCGGCTTGGAACAAGCTTTCGCCGGACGCCAACGCAGATCAGTGCAGTAGCCTGGTTGGGAATAGGACCTCGCCTCCAACGTGACCTCAACTAAATCCTTCACACGACACCAGCATGTTGCGATCTCCCAAACGCAAACCCCAGAACAGCATGTCCAGTTCTGCTGAACTGAATCGCCCGGCAGCAGATGAGACAGAGCCGTTACTGAACCCCAGCAACACCACTAGGAACTATACCAGCGGCGACGGTGGGATGTCTCCAGGCCCAGGCCCAGACCAGGACTGGAGTCGGCAGTCATTGGCATTGCGCATTTATCATGCCATCCTCCGCCTCAACAACATCAATGTGCTGCTGGCCTTCCTGCCGCTGGGCATCCTGTCCGGTCTCTTGGGCTGGAACTCCATTTTGACCGCCGTCTTCAACTTTCTTGCCATCATCTCGCTGTCTGCTTTGGTGTCCTATTCGTCAGACGAGCTGTCGCATTATCTCGGAGAGTTGAGCGGAGCATTGATCAATGCTACTTTTGGCAATGCCGTCGAGCTGATTGTCAGTTCTCCTCTTCTTGAGCTCTTTTCTTGTGGCTGACCAATGCCCGACAGTCCGGTATTGTCGCTCTGAGTCGCGGCGAGATACACTTTGCGCAGTCCGTGATGATTGGTAGTATTCTATCCGACATTCTTCTGGTTAGTTACGTCTTTTGTCCTTACTTTCCTATTTGATTCTCACACTAATATACAATCTAGGTCCTTGGTGGCTGTCTCATCTCCGCTGCATATCGCAAGCATGTGCTCAAATTCAAGATGGCCGAGGCGGACGCCCTGTCGTCATTGATGATCATCACCGCCGTAGCACTGATCCTCCCCACAGTACTGTACTCTGCATTTGGCTCGTCGAATTCTTCGTCGGACATTGACGACAAGATCGTGTCCTTCTCGCATGGCACCGCGCTAGTCCTCTTCATTCTCTACGCCGGATACCTTTACTTCCACCTGGGAACGCACTCTCATCTGTTCGTCGAAGACCAAGGGGACGCGCTAAGCGTGACGAGTGACGACGACGCGACAGATAATAATAACAACAACCCTGCTCGCCAGGAGGAATCTCCCAGCTTGAGCCTTTCAACGGCTACCGTCCTTCTCCTCGCCGCAACGGCCGGAATCATGGGCTGCACACACTTCTTGCTCAAAAACGTCGACCAGACCGCCCACATCACGAGTATGAGCAAAACCTTTATCGCCGCCATTCTGATCCCCATTGCCAGCAACAGCCCCGAGGGGGCCGCCGTCGTGGCTGCTTCGCGGGACGGAGACGTCAACTTCGCGATTGGCGTTATCGTCAGCAGCATCCTGCAGATCGCGCTGTTTGTGGTGCCCTTCCTGGTGATGCTGGGGTGGGTGATCCAGCAGCCGATGACGCTCAATTTTGAAAACTTTCAGACGATTATTCTTTTCTTTGCCGTGCTGGTGGTTAATCACCTGCTTCAAGCGGGAAAATATACGTATATTCATGGTGTCATGTTGGTGGCGTTGTAAGTAGAATCTTTTTTTTCCCCCAGTGAGCGTGCTTGTTGTGGATTGAAACACTAATATCAACGTTTTCGGTGATATAGGTACGCCGCCATTGCCACTGCTCTCTATACGCGCTGAGGGAACGACACTTGGGCGATTATATACAGTAGAGTATGAGGTGATTTTATCCAGATATGGAGCACACTCCATGAAAATAATATATAGCACCTTACTGGAAGTTTAGCTTCTTATTAATATTAATATTAACAGTTAACTTCCTCCTTGATCCTCTTGATTATTATTACTATCTTCCTGATCAGCTACATGGCACCAGGCCACAACTTTCCAGAGGCGATTGAAGCAATCGATCGCTATGATTGAAGTAACTTCAGAGTTCTATGCCCGAATCCAACTGATGTGTAAAGCGGATGCCGTCCACGGTTGCTTACTAGAGTAGCAGCGAATACAGACCAAAAAGGTCACCTGCATCAAAGTCTCCGCATTGCAGTAACCGCATGTGCTGGGACGTCAGGCCGCATGCAGAATGCAACCGCGATAATGACATATCTAAAAATCAAGAAAAGAATTGCGTCAATATGCCTTGTCTGCTAAGAAGGAGAAGAACGTATTTCTACTTACGTTCCCATCAACATAGCACCCTCAAAGTAATTCGTCTGCCCGTCCTGAATCAGGTAGATCATGACCATGATCGCCGTGAAGAAGACAATGGCGACAAAACTGTCAAAGTCGAGCGTCATCGGCTGCTGCAGGATCCAGCCCAGGAGGACCAGCAGCGGGGTGATGAGGAGGGTGACGTGAAGGATGGTGCCGATGACGGTCCGTATCACCACGTCGATCTGTCGCTGCCGGGATATCGCTATCAGAGCAGCGTATTTTGCCGCGTTTCCTGCCAGGGGAATGAGCACTAGACCCAGAAATGCAGGGCTGACGTGCAGCGCTTTGGCTGAGCCGTCAATGCTGTCGATCAGGTACGAGGCGCAGCCGAAAATGGACAGAATCGAAGCAATCAGGATGCCACCGGCAGCCCAGAGTCGTCGACGAGTCGGGGCTGGTGGCTCGTCCTCGGCGACGTCATGGCTGTTTCCGCTAGAGCCATCACCGGGCACGTTCTGGAAGAGACACGCATGGGTCTTGTGCTGAAAGCGAAGATAGACAACGAAAAGGATAAACAGAATGATGGCAGTGCCGTGCGACATGGTCAGCATGTCCCTGTCAGTAGTGACCGATTCAGATGATGACGTAAAGGACATGATTGCCGGGATGATCAGCGCGATGGAGACGACTATCATCAGCGAGGACATGATGCCGGTCAGCAGCTGGTCAAACACCAGTTTCTCGACATTGTAGCTGGCGAAGAGGATGCTGCTGCCGAGGACCTATAACGAAGTAAGTACTCTCGTCAGTAGAAGATGGAGAGACAGCGAGAGATGAATTGAAGATGGAAGAAGGAGATTTTGTGAGGGTCTCTTTACCAGAAGAGAGTAGCATAGGACGCTCCCGACCAGAGTCGACTGGACGATGCGGATTCGTCCCTGTCTCAGGGCGATGATGCCCACCTTTAAGAACCCAAGTTATCAGCTATCACGACTACTAAAAAAAAAAAGAAAAAAATGCAGCGACTTTGATAAGAAGCAGGTGTCTTACCGCCAACTCGACAGTATTTCCCAAGGTCGCTTTGAGCAGTCCAGCGGGAACCTGCCCCGTCTGCGCTGCTACATCCCCCAGCAAGAGCGCTATCCAGTAAGCCAGCGGTACGATAGCAAGGAGGTTGAGTAAGAACACCGCCTGATCGGCCCAGCCAAGGGCACCAGCGGCCAGCCCGACAGGCACAAAGACCAACAGCGAGTTCACGTAGCTGCTGCGAAGCACCGTCCGCATTGCGCGGTAGGGGTACCATGTGAAGTGCCGCAGGAGATGTAGTTGAGCCGGCTCGAGCCAGTCGGCCTGGCGGGCTTGTTGTCCATAGCCACGAACGTCAGACATGATGTATGCTGGACTTTTTCCGAGAGCTACAATAACAGATCGATCATAGCAAGTTCCTCATCTGCAGTATATGTATAATTGCTTGCCTTTAACCGTTTCAGGGCCTTCGCAGTCGTCACGTTGTTCCTGGCGCTGTCCGTGGTGGAGTCAGTTGATCGGCACTAAGCGGCCTTAGCGTCAGCCTAGTTAATTTCGCAAACAATTTATATTTACCTCTTCAACACCCCACGAAACACCATCAATGCCGTCAGTGGCCAGAAATAGAGCATATTCCGCCGGAATATACAGCTGGATATTCGATTAAGCCCTGCTTGAACGCTTTTGGATCACTGTTCAGCCTTACTATCGCAGGCACGATATCGTGTTGCCTGCGAGATGAGTTCACGGACGCTATCTTTAGAAATGATGTGCTGAATGCTGCGGCCAATCAGCGATTCGGCAGCCTGTCAGTGCCCCCCGCCAGCATCAAACTCGTCAAACTAATAATACCCCATCCTTCAGCCTAGTGACCATCAACTCGAGCTGACATCTATTGCGAGAACAGGGGCAGTCAGAGATGTTACAATACGCCATCTGATGGCATCCCCTGAGCATAATCAGAACTACCAAAGTCTGCGACACCGACATCCCCAAAGCCAACTCGTGGGCATGTCTGCGCCGGAGCTGGCTGACGAGAGCGAACACACCGGTCTGCTCAGAGGAGAAGCTGCCGGCCGCTCTCCTGGAGAAGCAGTCCCCCTCAGAGAACATCGACCAGTCCAGGGCCTCTTCGTGGATGCCTACCATGCCTCCAAGGCAACATTGCGTTGCAGCCACGCCAATTGGCTCCTGGGGTTGGTGCCCCTGGGCATGATTGCCTCGTCCTCGGGCTGGAATCCAGCAGCAGTCTTCATCCTCAACTTCCTGGCTATCTTCCCCCTGGCTGCGTTGCTCTCTTACTCGACCGAGGAGCTATCTGCCAGTGTAGGACAGACGATCGGAGGGTTGATAAATGCGACCTTTGGCAATGCAGTGGAGATGATCGTGAGTTCATCGGTTAGCAATGCGACGCGGTGGGCTTTTTATTAATGAGTGCAATAGGTTGGCATCACCGCCCTGAGACAGGGCGAGATCCGCATTGTCCAGTCTAGTATGGTTGGCAGTGTTTTGTCAGGCACTCTCTTAGTAAGGTGACCCTCGGAGCCTCAATTCTTTTCGTCGGCTTGTTAACGAGGTTGGCAGATCCTTGGTTGCTGCTTCTTTTCCGCCGGTTATCGCCAAGAATGTCGCAAGGATAACCTGAGGTTCAACGTGGACGTCACCGGCATCATGACCTCGTTGATGGTCGTCGCATCCGCCTCGCTCTTCATTCCCTCCGCGCTTTCCTCGACTACTCCGACGTCGGAAGTGAACGATTATATCCTGGTCCTGTCTCGGATTACTTCCCTTATCCTCCTGCTCTTCTACGTCGTATACCTTTATTTTCAGCTCAAGAGCCATGTTCATCTGTTCAAGGATTGCGATGAATCGGAATCTGATGATCATGCGCTTGGCCCATGGGCCGCCAGCATCGTTCTCATCTTGTCGACCCTTGGGATTACTTTTTGCTCAGATGCTGTGGTAGACAGCATCGACGGAGTCGTCGAGGCCTGTCACGTCAGCCGCGCTTTCATCGGCCTGATCATTGTCCCTATCGTCGGCAATGCTGGCGAGTTCGTCACCACTGTGAACGCGTCCATGAAGGACAAGCTGGATCTGGCGATCGGCATCGTTGTCGGCAGCACCCTGCAGATCGCCCTCTTTGTCACCCCGTTCATGGTCATCATGGGCTGGATACTGAATCAGAAAATGTCGTTGCATTTCGACACTTTTGAAACGACCGTCTTTACGCTGGCTGTCGTCGTAGTGAATTGTATAGTTCAGAATGGCCAGACCAATTACTTCGAGGGGTTCCTCTTGATTGGAACG